GAAGGGTTGAGGGATAGGCTAAATGGGTAAGGGGCACTAAGGAATCTACTCCTGAAATCATTGTTGCACTATATGCTAACTAATTTGGATGTAAATTTTTAAAAAAAAAATTAAAAGAAATAAAAAGAAGTAACGCAAAAGGTGGAAACTAACTAAATGTCCATCAACTGAATAATGGATAAACAAAATATGGTATATCCATACGATGGTATTATTCAGTCTGAAAATGAAATAAAGTACTGATACATGCCAGAACATGGATGAGCCTTCAAAACATTATAAGTGAAAGAAGCCAGACACAAAAAGCCACAATTTATATATGATTATATGAAATACCTGGAATTGGCAGATCATTGAGACAGAAAGAGAATAGCAATTGTAAGGGGTTGGGGGTTAGGAGGGAGTTATGTTTACTGGGTACAGAGTTTCTGTTTGTGATGATGAAAAATTTCTGGAAATAGAGTGATAATTGCAAAACATTGTAAATGAAGCTACTGAATTGTCTAGTTTCAAATGGTTGAAATGATAAATTTTATGTGTAGTTGCCACAATGAAAAAAAAAGATAAGCTTGAAGGTCATTGTAATGAGCCTCTTGTTTTTCTTTCTGCACAGGGGCCATGGATAACAGAGGCTTTCAGCAGGGGAGTTTCAATAGCTTCCGGAGCAGCTCCAGTGATGAAGACTTGATGGACATACCAGGGACAGCTATGGATTTTTCCATGAGAGATGATGTTCCTCCCTTAGATGGGGAAATAGAAGGTATCATTACTGTTGATGACAGTTTTTCTTTTTAAAAATTATTTTAAATGTACATACAGTAAAATTTATTTTCTGGTACAATCTTAAGAGTTTTAACACATGCATAGATTTTTGTAACCACCACCACTGACAGGATACAGAACAGTTCAGCACCCTCAAAGAATTCCCTCCTGCCCCTTTGCAGCCAGACTTCTTCCACCCCCAATCCCTGGTAACCACTGATCTTTCTCTGTTCCTGTATTTTTTTTTTTTTTTGTTCTTTTCTAGAATGTCATGCATGGAGTCACATAGTATGTCACCTTTGAGACTGACTTCGCTACTCAGCTTAAGGCCTTGGAGATTAATTAAAGTTGTTCATTCCTTTTTTCTTGCTCAGTAGTGTAGCCTGAAGTGGGATCACTGGGTCATGTGGTAAATGTATGTTGAACTATATAAGAAACTGCCAAACCATTTTCCAGAGTAGCTATAACCGTTTTATATCTGAACTAGCTGTGTAATGAGAGTTCCACTTGTTCCCCATCTTCAACAGCTCTTGGTATTTCCAGTAATTTTTATTTTAGCCATTCTAATAGGTGTTATCCCATCATGGTTTTATTTTAATTTCCCTAATGACTTCTGATATGGAACATCCTTTCATGCGCTTATTTGCTAACCTCATATCCTGTTTGATGAAGTGTCTGTTCAAATCTGTTCCCTCTTTGGGACACCTGGGTGGCTCAGTTGGATGACCCACCGACTTCAGCTCAGGTCATGATCTCACAGTTCATACGTTCGAGCCCCACGTTGGGCTCTGTGCTGGCAGCTCAGAGCCTGGAGCGTGCTTCCTATCTTGTGTCTTCCTCTCTCTCTGCCCCTCCCCCTGCTTGCAGTCTGCTCTCTCTTTGTCTCAAAAATAAATAAACATTAAAAAAAATTTTTTTTAAATCTGTTCCCTCTTTCATAATTGGGTTTTTATTATCGGGCATGCATTCATATAATAAGAATTCCCTTCATCTATTATTTGGTTAGCCAGTACCATCATTCTTTTTGATAACTCCATATAATTTCATGATAGAGCTGCCAGAATTTACTTAATCAAGTTTCTATTGATGCACATTTCCGTTGTTTTCAATCTTTTGCTATTACAAACAATACTGCAGTGTGTGTGTGTTTATTCTTTAAGTATATTAGAGCATTTCTGTAGCATGAGTGTGTGAGTGCTTTTTGACCACAGCCTTGCTGGTGTTGAATAGTCAAATTCTTTTTTCACCTTTACAATAGGATAGGCAAAATAAATAAAGAAATATTCATTATTGTTTTTTTTTTTGGTTGGTTTTTATTTATTTATTTTTTTATTTATATATGAAATTTATTGTCAAATTGGTTTCCATACAACACCCAGTGCTCATCCCAAAAGGTGCCCTCCTCAATACCCATCACCCACCCTCTCCTCCCTCCCACCCCCCATCAACCCTCAGTTTGCTCTCAGTTCTCAACAGTCTCTTATGCTTTGGCTCTCTCCCACTCTAACCTCTTTTTTTTTTTTTTTCCTTCCCCTCCCCCACGGGTTCCTGTTAAGTTTCTCAGGATCCACATAAGAGTGAAACCATATGGTATCTGTCTTTCTCTGTATGGCTTATTTCACTTAGCATCACACTCTCCAGTTCCATCCACGTTGCTACAAAAGGCCATATTTCATCTTTTCTCATTGCCACGTAGTATTCCATAGTGTATATAAACCACAATTTCCTTATCCATTCATCAGTTGATGGACATTTCGGCTCTTTCCATAATTTGGCTATTGTTGAGAGTGCTGCTATGAACATTGGGGTACAAGTGCCCCTATGCATCAGTACTCCTGTGTCCCTTGGATAAATTCCTAGCAGTGCTATTGCTGGGTCATAGGGTAGGTCTATTTTTAATTTTCTGAGGAACCTCCACACTGCTTTCCAGAGCGGCTGCACCAATTTGCATTCCCACCAAAAGTGCAAGAGGGTTCCCGTTTCTCCACATCCTCTCCAGCATCTATAGTCTCCTGATTTGTTCATTTTGGCCACTCTGACTGGCGTGAGGGGATACCTGAGTGTGGTTTTGATTTGTAGTTCCCTGATGAGGAGCGACGCTGAACATCTTTTCATGTGCCTGTTGGCCATCGGATGTAAGACAGTATTTTAAAGCATAGCATGGTCCTGCGGTACTTCCCAGGGCTAAGATGGGAGAGCTGCCCCACCAACATTTGCTTTTCAGCTACTGGGTTTGAGTAAGTTTGAAAGCAAAATAGAAGCAAAATGGAGGCACAAGTTCATAGAAATGCCCTAAAAATGTTGACTAATTATTGGGGTTTCAGCTGTAATGTAGTCTCAAACATAGAGATGAATGTAATGTGTAAGTGTTCATAACTCTCTGGGAGATCTAGAGTGGATGAACTAATACAAGAAAGGGTAGAGGGTGCAGGTATGGAAGTGAGAAAAGGCATACATTAGGCTCTTAGTACTTGCTGTTGAATGAAGGTAAGTTTTAAAAAACCGCAGGATGAATATCTGCTGATGTATGCTAGGTAGAGTGTTGAAGTTCTTGTAGATGTCCTTTCAGCCTTGCAAACATACAACATATCCCTGTAAAAACTGAAATACATTTTTTAAAAAATTGGACTATTTTCGGGTCCTGTGATACGTACCAACAGCTTGCCTCATTTCTTTGAGTGTTTCTTTAGGCCACTTTCTTTAGGCACAATAAGTGTGCCCTCCTGCAGCTACGCTACTACTAAAGCAGTATTTCAGGGTCTGTGCACGAGGTTTCTCTCTATCCTCTTTCCCCTTGTTTTTGTTAGTGTTTAACTCATTCACTTAATCGGTTACTGTTAAGCCCCCCAGGTAAATTTCTAATGGCATATTGGTTAGGGGTTGAAACAAACATTATTCTCAAATTGGAATTTCTTTTCTTGTTTTTTAAGGGGTTGCCTAGTTTTAAGCGTCATGTGAGTTTTAGAAAAAAAAAAAAAAACCAACCAACTGTACAGTAGTTTCCATAAAGGGAAATGAACTAAATGCATTCATTTATTATGCCTCCTCATCCAAGCAATGTGCTTCTAAAGACCCATTGTTAAGTTTTTAGACCTAAGTGTAACCTATGGGGAGAGGTGTTTAAACATTGACTTTTTTCTGACTGGTTTTCTGGGTATTTTCCCCAGACTCAAGCAGCGCAAATTACCCTTTGGGGGCTTTTAAAAAATTATTCAAATTGAGATCTAATTGTACTTTAACTTGAATCATTTTCCTATCAGAGTATTAAATTGTTTTATATGTAACTTAGAGCACATGATGCCTTCAAAACTTACTCAAGTTAAGTTTTATCTTTATCTTTTTTTTTTTTTTTTTGGTATGGAGGCAAAACTCTAGACTTACTTAAGTACCTCAATATGACATGTTGCATCCTTGTTCAATTTCACTCTTCCTTCCTTGGCAGAGAATTTACACACCAGAAGCTTAACTCTTAATACACTGGTTTTGAAAAACCTTTTTGGGGACGCCTGGGTGGCTCAGTCGGTTAAGCGGCCGACTTCGGCTCAGGTCATGATCTCGCGGTCCGTGAGTTTGAGCCCCATATCGGGCTCTGTGCTGACAGCTCAGAGCCTGGAGCCTGTTTCAGATTCTGTGTCTCCCTCTCTCTCTGACCCTCCCCTGTTCACGCTCTGTCTCTCCCTGTCTCAAAAATAAATAAATGTTAAAAAAAGAAAGAAAGAAAGAAAGAAAGAAAGAGTGCAAACAATTTAATCCCTCTCATTGATGAAACCTAAAAAGCTTTAATATCATTGTTATTATTATATGCTAAAATATTTTATTTTTCCTATTATAAAAATTATGATGGATATTTAAAAAATCCTGGCCTATGTTTGTGCCAAATGCCCATTAAGTGGTCTTTCTATACTGAAAGTTTTAAAGACCAACGAATAGAACACCGTATGTTAACTACACTGTAATTAAAATAATAAAAAAAAAAAAAAACAAGGGCACCTGGGTGGCTCAGTCGGTTGAGCATCCGACTTCAGCTCAGGTCATGATCTCCCAGTTGTGGGTTTGAGCTCCATGTCAGCCTCTGTGCTGACAGCTCAGGGCCTGGAGCCTGCTTCAGATTCGGTGTTTCCCTCCCTTTCTGCCCCTCTGTGGCTCGTGCTCCATCTCTCTCTCTCTCTTTCATAAATAGATAAACATTAAAAAATATTTTTTTAATAAATTAAAAACAAAACAACATTGCAGGAGCCACTGACACTTTTGAAATCAGAAGATGATCTGATCAGCTCTGTGTCCCAGAAAGATAACTCTGTTGTCACCAAATGTTAACCCTATTATTGTGTTTTTACCATAGGCTGCATTAAAAACTGGTCAGCATTTCTTTACCTTATTTTCACAGTAATATTAATTGAACCTACATCTGGCAGTCTGTATAACAAACATATGCTAGAAATTACAAATTTGGCAGAAAAGGGAATTGTAATTAAATATCATTTTAGTACAAGGACTGCATCATAGCTACCAAACCTAGTTTTCAAGGGAAATAAATTTACATGGAATAATAAAGTCACTCCCCTAGAAGCTGTGATGTAACATTTGAAAAATACATGAACTTACATCAGTTATTAGCATGGTACCAGTTCTACCATCCAGTCATTGTACATTGAGGAACTATACATTTTTTAAATACCAAAACATATAGTATCTTGAAGTGTAAAATAATCTAGTAAGATAATGTAAATCTTATCAGATAATGTAAGTGAATTCTGCAGGTGCCTTCAGAAACTATATGTAGGATTCTATTTAATAAAGAATGACTTTGAGGGTCGCCTAGATGGCTTAGTCGGTTATGCGTCTGACTCGATTTCAGCTCAGGTCTCTATCTCAGAGTCTTGAGTTCAAGCCCTGCATTGGGCTCTACGCTGGACACGAAGCCTAGTTAAACAAACAAACAAACAAACAAATAAATAATAAATAAAATAAAGGATGACTTTGAAGGAGGCTTATGAGTTTGGGCATACAATTCTCTTTGAGTAAGATATACACACTTGTCTAAAAGTACAGCTCTATAACATAATTACACTTAAGCCACAGATAGCTTTTGATTTTTAAGCTTTGTAGTTGATTGCCACAACACCATCAGTTGCCACTTCATTTTAATTCTTCTCATTAATGCTAGTTTAGTTCATCAAGGGACTGAGATGTCATGATAATGACAGACGAGACTGAAAGCATACAGATTTCATGAAGTTCCTCACATTTTGTAAGGTTTTGTTGTAATAACATTTCAGGATGCTTTGGGCCCTAAGAATTGATGAGAATGATCACAGCATTTGAAGCCCTCCATTTAGGTCTGATTATTGGAGCACACTGACTGGATTAATGTTTAACAGCGGCTGTCCTGCAGATTCACTAAGGAAGTTGAGAGACGGTGATTTCATTCTTCTTTACTCGACCAGCCTTGTTGCACAGTTAATTAAGACCTGCTGAAGAATAGCCTTAGGAATAGGGCCTGGGAAGGGAAAGCCTTTTAAATAATGCAAATAGAAGAGTGAATTTATTTTCACAGCTGAAATAGCTGGTTTTCCCCAGTTTGGATTAGTGAGATCAGATTTGATTTTGCTGGCTGGGTAGAGAACTAATATAAAGAAACAACTCCTTTTCTGGACTGTAATCTGAGTTTTAAGTTACTACGTGCTATTAAAGAGCTGAGCTTGTAGAGTACATTCACATGCAGTTCCATATTTCATAATTTTCTGTAATTATCATATATACATAGAAAGACATATAACACGTGTACAGTTTAAAGAATGATTATAATACGAACACTCAGTTAACCACCGATCAGATAAAGAAAAATTACCAGCATTCCAGGAGCCCCACCTTCACCATGTACTCTATCCAGATGGTGACCTCTTCTCTCCTCTGGGTAGCTACTGTCTTTACTTTTGTCATTTTCTTGCTTCTCTTTGTAATGTAGCAACTTATATTTGTATCATAACACGCTATAGTTTAGGTTTGCCTGGTTTTGAATTTATATGAATAGAATTATGTTATGTGCTCTCGTGTCTGGCATCTTTCAGTGTTACACGTCTGAGATTTTCTCTGTGTTTTTGCCATCCAGTGAAATTTCTTTAAAAAGCCTTTTCTATATTTGATCCTCTCCCTTTTTTACTTAGGATCCCTCTAAATGCTTTCAGTTATTCCTCCTTTGCCTTCTTGGATTTTCTGCTAAATAAGGTCTAAAGACTCAAAGTTGTCTGGACCCCAGTTTTGTGAACATATCCGACTGACCCAGTTTGATGGCATTCGTTTAGATGAGACTACATCTTTAAGGCTTCTGTGCTCGGTTAAAAATCTTCCTTTCTCCAAGCTGGTCCAAGGGTCTGGTCACGTGACGCCACCAGTGACATCACATTCTGACCGCAGGGAACACTGGTGGTTCTTTAGGTGGCGTTTGTTCCTGTGAAAGGCAGAGAACGCAGCAAGTGCCCTTCTAAAGCAGTTCATACCGGGGCTCCTTCTGTAAAAGCTCCTCAACCTAAATGACCAAATGCTGGCTGCCAAAGTTATTTCTTCCTTGAGGCAGAAAAAAAGAAAGCTGTGATTGAAGGTAAGCAGACTTGAGCCCAGCCAAGGACTGAAGTGTGACCCCAGGGAGAAGGAGATCTGGAGAATCACAAGCAGTCTGTTGTTGGCTTCTAATCACTGCCTGCTGTTTCAGAGCTGCCTGACAATTTGCGTTTCTAACAGGAGACTATCTACAAAGGAGGAGGATGCAGTGCTCATGTTACCTAGTGATGTAATAGGATTCTTTCTTTCCTGTTAGGAAGCTGTTGCAGATCTTCATTTTGTCTTAATATCCTTAGAGCTGGGGGCCTCATTTGCTATACAGTGTAACATTATATAGCTATTGGATGCTTTTAAAAATCAGTTTCACAAAATCCTTTTTAAATTTCTCCTGAAAGGAGAGCCCTTAAACCAGAGCAAATTCATTTGGAGCATTAACCTGCTTTAAAAAGTAAATTTCTGGTTGTTTGGTGTCCTGTGTTCATGTCAGCATTTGTCTGGAGAATTGAAACAGCTTGGTGTTTTTTTTTTCCTTTTTTTTTTTTTTTTTTTTTTTGCCCCTCTCACCATACTTTATTTCCTTTCTGCCCTCATTTCCTAGCTGGCTGTTTCCGTCTAAGCTCTCAAACACACAGCATTAATCTTTATCAGTATGCCACTGTCATGATAGGAAATGCTGGGCTGGTGATTCAGCAGCCAACCATTTTACAGCCAGGTAGGCTTGAAGATATGGAAAGGACTTTGGTTAGGGGTTTTAAGATTAACTTGTTAACCTCCTCCACTCCAGCCCCACCCCCACCCTCAATATGATTTAGATTCTGCAGAGCTTTTCCTTTTAAATGTGTATGTTGCCGATAAAAGGTACACTGAATTAGGTATTCGGAAGACTTAACAATTTGTAAATCAGGTACAACTTGGGAGTTAATTCCCACTCACCCTATGAGAGTGCTGAAGTTGTCTGTAGGAGTTTAGAGTGAAGATGGGGATGCAGATGTGGGGAAATAGGTGGCAGCTTGGGCCTACTTTGGCCTTCTCTGCAGAGGGATCCATCACCAAACAGTCTGGGTAAAGCTTTGTGCCTGCCAAGGTTGATGCTGCAAATGTGAGCTTTGGCTGGTTGCATTAAATGATAGCATTACTCTGCATTTTTCCTCAGTGTGCATTTGCATAAATTCCTGAATACTGTTCTACTTTTTGTGTTTAATAGTGAAATACTGTTTCACCAGAGGATGGTGGAAATATTTTGAACAAGTTTGTCAAGCAGTACTGAGTAACCTTGTGTGTGTACAACTTCTGAGTTTTAATACTTCTTGCTCATCCCCACTGTTCAGCGAATAAACCTTGATTCCGCTGATATTTATTGAATCTTGGATATGTGTTAGACATGAGAAGGCAATGATGACTTGGATATGGGGCTGCCCTCAAAGAACTTCCAGTCTAGCAAGGAAGACAAAACATTTGCATAAGTAATTATAACAGAAGCACCAACAGCAAAGCAGATAAAGGACTGTGGTTGGACAAGTGGATATGTTTCTTCCATTGAAAGATCAGGGACAGACATTTCATCACCAAGCCATGCAATGGTCTTTAAATCTCTACTTGTAAGTCTTAGACTGTTCTGACATACTCAGTAAAAGTTTCTGTAAGCCCATTACATTAGGGATCAAAGTCTACCTGTTGAAGGGAAATATGTACATTCTAGCCAGCTTAACTCTTGAAGAGGCTGGCATGCTTTCTTTGGAACTCCCACTCAGGCAAAAGCTACGTCTTAGAATTGAACTACTGCCTTATAAATGTAAAATGGTTTCTGATGTGCTATGTCTACAAAGATCTTTGACCCTTTTGTCTCCCTTCCGTAACAGAAACTGAAATACCTAAGGGGCTCCAAGCTCCTGCATTTTGTTTCATAAATCCTTTCCCACTAAGCTTCAACTCCTGTCAGTTCTCCCTTTGTGCTGTCACGCTCATCTGTCCCTTTCCATTCATACTGCCTTAAGACACTCATCATTTTGTGCCTAGATCACAGAAACTTTCGAATGTGGTGGATGTTCCCACCAGGTGATTATATTGCTTAATCAGCACAACCTAACTATAATCATCTGATAGTTTAAAGACTCACCTTTTGGTACTCAAAAAGGAGGTATTAAAATGTTTAGTGTCCAGGGGCACCTGGGTGGCTCAGTCGATTAAGTGTCTGACTTGATTTCAGCTCAGGTCTTGATCTCATGCTTCGTGAGATCGAGCCCTGTGTGGGAAGGATTGGGGGTGCTGTCAGTGCAGAGCCTGCTTGGGATTCTCTCTCTCTCTCTCTCTCTCTCTCTGCCTCTCTCCTGCTTGCTTGCTCTCTCTTTCTCTCTCGAAATAAATAAACTTTCAAAAAATGTTTAGTGTCTGAGGTACTAATGTCTATTTCCTGTTCAATACAGAGGAAAAGTCATACAATGGTGGAGGAATAGGTTCTTCAAATAGGATGATGGACTTCTTGGAGGAGCCAATCCCTGGTGTGGGGACCTATGATGATTTCAATACAATTGACTGGGTGAGGGAGAAGTCTCGAGACCGGGATAGGCACCGAGAGGTAAGACGAAAGATGGTCCATGTGTAAGTGTTAGAAAACAGCAGGGAAAGAAGTTGAAGATCTGTAATTCTTTATATGTATGCTCTCCTTCAGCCCTGGATGTGGCTGAATCTCAGGTTTCCATTGGCAATGTAGGGTTTTATTTTCTAATTTATTTTTATTTTTAGGGTATCTTGTATATGATTTTAAGAAGAATTTATAATTAATGATGATTTATCTTCCTATAGTAAGTAGTTGAACAGGATCCTTGCAGCCCTGAAATGGGTATAAGTGCCTATGTAAAGAGGTGAAGACAAACTTGGTGGAGGGGACCAAAATAAGTTTCAAAGATCTTCTTCCTCTGCCTCATTTCCGTTTTATGGTTTTCCTTTGAAATAGTGTTCTTAGAACTAAGAAAAGAAAGGGGGCTTCCTTTAAAGGAATAAAAGAAAAAAAATTCAGAGCCTTGGTGTTTACTGAAACATATGGGATAAAGTCCTTGCGATTATGGCTCTCAGACAGCCATAAAAGAAAATGTGTGCATTCAACTCAAACCCCCAAGACCAATCAGATCCAATTTAAGGATATTAATTTAATATGATAAGTAATAGGTGGCATTTATGGCTAAGGCCCAGATTCTTTAGAATTTGGTGAAGTTCCCCACCTTTCTTTTTTCAGAGTACCACTAAAACTTCTTAAAGCAGTCTGCCAGGGTCATTTGCCTTTAACTTGTTGCTATGTATCATTTAAATCAGGGAATCAAAATTTCTAGCTCATGTCGGGGCCACATGGAGAGCTTATGAAAGCGGTAGGGCCTCAGCCCCAGTGATCCTGATTCAGTGGGTGATCTCCTGGTGAGACATTTCTTCAACCTTAGGTGCTATTATTTTTCCTTTTGTATTATTTCTGTTTTGAGTCCAAATTTAAAATTTGATTTTTACCTTGTCCCTTTCTCTCCTGAGTTCATGATTCCCTTCTCTCAGAGCCAGGCAAGTCTCCTGAGCAGTCAGGTTCAGATTGCTTTTTGTTCTTAAGCCATTCCCAGCTCCTGAGTGATCTTCTCATGACCACTTAAACCCAGGGGTCAGGTTGTCCCAGGTACAGGTTTTGAAAAATTCCTCTGTAATCTTTGGACTTGTGATAATCTCATGGAGTTTTCTATCCTAACTAAAGAAGGGGATCTCTACGAAACACTCTTATGTTTTTCATAAGGTTTCTGATATTTGGGAACACACACATACCTGTCCATCATATCTATTCATCACTCAGGCTTTAGAATTTTTGCTGTCTGTAATTCAGAGTTCAGTTTGTCATCAGTTGCATATTCAACATGTTATTTACATTGTGAAAGTCACCCATGATATGACAAGGGCATATTTTCCCACTATATAAAAATGGCTGCATCTGAGACACATTATGCCAACTAATGACAATTCAAAATCAATTAGAATGTGTTTATTAAGTGTTCAAAAGGGACTGTTTTCTTTGCATTAACTGCTCATCATCAGAATGGAAACACTGTCACTGACAAATGTTACCTCATCTGCTTTGAGCACTAAAAGTGGAAACTTAAAGTCTCAGGTCAAAATGAATTTTGAAACTGCTTTTAAAAGTTTTATAATAATTTGTGATTGTGATGTCACTGTAGATGAAGATGGGGCAGCTAAGTCACAGTTTCAAAGATAAGAAATAGAGGTTCAGAGAAGGGGGAAGCCCAATGACAAAGCTGTCAGAATACTTGGTTTTGAAATAAATGTGGGCACTGAAGGGCTAAATTGACAAGGCTAGGGCCTAAAAGGCAAAACTTTCTGCACCTCTTGATAGTCTCAGCTATTCCCAGCAGGTTTTTGAAAATAAAGCGAAGCATCCCTGATACCATTTAATATCTGTGATCAGTGAGGGGAGCAAGTCCTGGAACTTGCCAGCCCTGAAGCACTGCCCTAGGTAGCAAGCCTCATGTTGTCTTTTCACCACTGAAATAAGTCTGTGTTTGTTGATTCTTTGCAAAACAATCCAGAAACCATCCCTAGAATATCTGATGTCTATGGCAGAAAGAGACCACTGCAATAAGCAAAACAGATTGACGGCATACAAAATTAGCAGCTGAATGGGTGAATCCCTGACTAAGGTACTTGGAGCCATTGCTCCAGTACTGTCAATGAAGGTGGTGGGGTTCAGTAAGACAAGGCTCACTAAGCCTCCCAAGTTATTGGTGATGTTTGTTCAGCCCGGGATTATTTGAGCAGTAACTCCAAATTGGTCTCTGTTCCTGATGAATAGATTTGTCTTTGTACCTCTTTATTGTGTGTTTTAAGGTGAAAAAGTAAGGGTGTGTGTAGAGCATACCAATTTTTTCTCATTTCTCCCTAGATTACCAATAAAAGCAAAGAGTCAACATGGGCCTTAATTCACAGTGTGAGTGATGCTTTTTCTGGCTGGTTGTTGATGCTACTTATTGGGCTCTTATCAGGTATGGTAAACTGTGTTTATTTCCTAAACAAATCTCTTAAAATCATGGTGTGCCCCTCCCCCAATCCATGAACCAAGTTGAGTGCTGTGCTTTACTGTTTTCCTACATGAAATAAATTGCTGGTAGACCTTTAGGAAGCTTGATGTTCCCATATGTAAAGGGATACTAATACCTGTATCTCTTTCCTTTAAATGAGGTTAAACAAGGAAATGTATTTAAATGAATTTATATGCTATAAAATATTGTATCCGTTTTAAGGTGCTGTTAGCATGCCTTTCAGTGATTGTCTTGAGGAAGAGCCCTTCTGTTAGAGACAGTCATTTTTTTTATTAAAAAAAAAATTTAATGTTTGTTTTTGAGACAGAGCTTGAGCAGGGGAGGGGCAGAGAGAGAGGGAGACACAGATCTGAAGCAGGGTCCAGGCTCTGAGCTGTCACCACAGAACCTGACGCAGGGCTCGAACCCACGAACTGTGAGATCATGACCTGAGCCAAAGTTGGATGATTAACCAACTGAGCCACCCAGGTGCCCCAACAATCATTAAAAAACAAAAAAACAAAAAACCACATAGTACATGAGGTTTATAAGAGAAGATACAGAAGAGAACTTCCTGAGAGACCTTTGTAGCTCTTTCTTAAACATCTCTCTCATTTGGTGATGAAGAGCACTATGAAAGATGTGGCTCATACCCTCAGGAAGTTCACAGTCTCAGTCTTTCATGCTGGCTGAGGAGTGGGATGGTCCTACCCTTTCCTGTCATCTCCGGCGACTTCCCAAGCCACTCTAAACAATATATGATCTAACTAGGAATGGTACACTTGCTATGCTCGTACAGCTTGAAAACAGGCTCCCAAGCAGGCTTCCCTTCCCACGGGAAAAGCAGAAAGCCAAGAACATGTGACAGAGATTCTGAGTTGTATCCTTGTGGCATTAAAAGGTGGACCTAGGAAGATCTGGAATATTGAGCTGAAAGGGACGTTAAGTGGGAAACCTGGAGGTAGAGGGCATGAAATAGCCATTAGCACAGGCTCTACTTTGCAGCTACCTGAGTTTGGACCAACCCCATGGCTTGCTAGTTTTGTGACTTTTGGCAAGTTTCCTAACCCCTGGAAGCTCTAGGGTCTAATAAGAGTTCCTATAGAACATGTTTGTTCTGAGGACAGAATAGTAGATAAATGAGATCTAGCACAGGTAGCTCTCAGCACAGTGCCCACAATTGCTTTTTGGGTTTTTTTTGCCCACAGTTTTTAATAGCGCCACTGCTGCTGTTACCTAGAAAAAATTTATGAGCCATGGAGTATAAATAAATAAATGTTATATACATATATATAGATAATACATACATATACATATATACATATATGTGTATATATATCATATGATTGCTGCAATGAAGGATGGCTCGTCCATAGCCGGGTTTTCAAAGATTATCTAGGGAAGGGGTCAGCAATGTCTTTTTGTAAAGGGCAAGATGGTAAATATTTTAGGATTTGTGTGCCAAATGGTCTCTGTAGCACGAAAGCAGCCACAGACAATAGGTAAGTGAGCACGGCTGAGACCAGGCAAAACTTTATTTAGAAGCATAGAGGCAGATTTGACCCTTGGGCCATAATTTGCCAACCTGTGGTCTAGGGTGTTAAAGCTACTCCTTCTGGCTTGCACAGGAGAGAGAGAATGGTCTAGCCAGTTTTTAAAAAAATTTTAATGTTTATTTTTGAGGGAGAGAGAGACAGAGTGTGAGCAGGGGAGGGACAGAGAGAGAGGGAAACATAGAATCTGAAGCAGGCTCCAGGGTCTGAGCTGTCAGCAGAGAGCCTGATGCGGGGCTTGAACCCACGAACTGTAGATCATGACCTGAGCCAAAGTTGGACACTCAACCACCTGAGACACCCAGGAGCCCCTGGTCTGGCCAGTTTAGAGTTGGATAATAATAGACCAAGTGGTGTGTAATGCTAAGTACTGCAGAGAGGCTGCAGAGAAGGAAGAGGGCTGAGAAAAGGTTATATAATTTAGTAGTTGGTAGGATACCAATGATCTTGGAAAGCTATCTCATAAATATAACGAGTCAGATTTCAAGGGGAAGCAACCAGTGTAGAAGTTTTGGAGATATTTGGGGGTCATTAGAAGGAGAGAAGGGACAGAAGCTTGAAATGGTAACAAGGACAAAGGAAGGCATTTTATTCTGTAGGGTAGGGGAAACATATTAGGAAAAGGAGGAGAAATAGCAATAGAAGGGAAGATAGGATTGAGGGTACCACATTAGGTAGAATAAGACATGCACACATGAGACAACATGGGGAACAAGCCTAACTCTGTAACACATGTTAATTTTTGAATCTGGGCAGTAAGTGCAGTAAGAATTAGAAGAAGGAGAAGGTAGGCATGGCCAAGAGGAGGTATCAAACAGTGTGTTAGATTTGATTAGGTTATTCAAGTATGTAAATAACCTGTGTTAACACTTTTAGCACCTACCCAAACATACATATGACATGGCCTCCAGCCTGTTGGAATGTAGGTATAATATCCTCAACTTTGTAATGTATTTCTTATCACTAGGTGGCCAGTGAATATTTTTCTTTCCCTTGTACACACAGGGCATTTTGTTTTTAAGTATTGCAGAGCAACAATAGAAGCAGTGTGCCTGAATACAGAAACAGTCTGGGAATTCAGAGGCTGTGAATTTTATGATGTCTTTGCTATTTCCCTAAAGCATGATTCTAGACCATTTAATTTCTTTATGCCAGAGTTTCTTCATCTGGACAACAGAAATGATGAGAAAGCCAGAAGTTTCTATAACTATCTTAACCCTACCAGTCTATTAACCATAGCACATAAATCCCCATTCACTATTCATCTTCTCATAATTTTCTTTGATGGATGCATAATAAGTTTTCACTATGAAAACTTCAGAATGTTCACATCCTAGGTTCAGAAGGCTTCAACGTGTCTATAGCTTCATCTAATTTTCCACGTGCATTGCAGTCTACGCTTTTACCGATTCAGTTCCCTTAGCCTAGAATGCCTTCCTGCCACTGCTCAGATTCCCTCATCCATGGAGCAAAATTGCTAACAAGGCTGAGTTCTTCTCCCCATAGTCTTCAACAGCTCCCTTCCTTCCCCCAACCATGTCAAATAAATATAATATTCTTCAATGCAGGCAATCCACATTTTCTCAGTCTTATATAATAGTGAGAATAAAATGATCTTTAATAAACTCGACTGTATTCATGGATCGGTATCCATCAACTGTAAGTCAAAGCAGAGTCTTTGCCATGTAAATCAACTAAAAGGCAAATATTCAGGCTCCTTGCTCCCACCCCACCACTTTGCCTCTCCTCAAGTTCCCCGTGTATAGAAATTCTACTGACATGGTGTTTAATGCAGACAGTGTTTTGTGTTTTGTACACTCCTGAACAGGCATGTAATGACAGGTAAAGTCTATTAGAGGTGATAGGTGGAAATCAAATAGACCATCAGAAAGAGGTTGCAAATGGAACAGAAAAGTTTATGATTACCCATTATTTTGATGCCCTTTCCCTCGTTTTCTCTGACAACTTTGGCCTTCCCTTCCCTCCCCTCAAATCAGGCTCCTTAGCTGGCTTGATAGACATTTCTGCTCATTGGATGACAGACTTAAAAGAAGGCATATGCACAGAGGGATTCTGGTTTAACCATGAACACTGTTGCTGGAACTCTGAGCACGTCACCTTCGAAGACAGAGACAAATGCCCTGAGTGGAATAGCTGGTCCCAGCTTCTCATCAGCACAGATGAGGTAACATGTTGTGAAGATCGCAGAACCACTGACTTTTATTCTTTTTTCTTAAAGTTTATTTATTTTGAAAGAGGGAGAGTTCAAGTGTGAGTGGGGGACAGCAAGAGAGAGAGGGAAAGAGAACCCCAAGCAGGCTCTGCACTGTTGTTGCAGAGCCTGACACAGAGCTCGATCCCACGAACCATGAGATGATGATCTGAGCTAAAAGAGTTGGGCACTCAACTGACTGAGCCACCCAGGCATCCCCCACTGACTTTTATTCTTACATTTGTTTCATTTCTTTTTTTTTAATTTATTAAAAAATTTTTTTAATGTTTATTTATTTTTGAGAGAGAGAGAGAGAGACAGAGAGAGTGTGAGCAGGGGAGGGGCAGAGAGAGAGGGAGACAGAATCTGAAGCAGGCTCCAGACTCTGAGCTGTCAGCACACAGCCCGATGTGGGGCTCAAACTCAACGACTGTGAGATTGGGGTGCCTGGGTGGCTCAGTCGGTTAAGCATCCGACTTCGGCTCAGGTCATGATATCACAGTCTGTGAGTTCAAGCCCCGTGTCGGGCTCTGTGCTGACAGCTCAGAGCCTGGAGCCTGCTTTGGATTCTGTGTCTCCCTGTCTCTCTGCCCCTCCCCTGCTCATGCTCTGTCTCTCTCTGTCTCAACAATAAAATAAAAACATAAAAAAAAAAAAGACCGTGAGATCATGACCTGAGCCGAAGTCGGACGCTTAACCGACTGAGCCACCCAGGTCCCCCACATTTGCTTCATTTCTTATACTGTACTCATGACAATTGTGGAATGTGCCCCCATTTTCCTTTTCATGAAAAGGAGAACCAGTGCCAGCTGCCTTTCTCTGTGGTTTAAGCGCAGCCCTATTTCCATCCATCTCTTCTGCCATGCAGAATCATTTGATGCTTACATAGTGGCTTAAAAGTTTTGTTTTTTTTTAAAACAGTCCTGGTGTTTCTTCTCAGTTGTTAGTACACAGTGTGACTCAATCTGTCTTTCTCTAATAATTCCAGTAAAAATGTCAGAGCCAGCCAACAGGTACGCTATAATTTCTAACTAAGATGGAGTGGGTTAAAAATGTATCCATTGTATAGACTCCAAAAGTAATTTTCCCCTGAGCATTGCATTAGAACATGTTTTAAAAAAGGAATACATTCCGTATCAAAATAACAGAAATGCAGGAATAAAATTGCCCATAGCCTGCTTTGGAGATTAAATCAATATTTTCATTTGTCCTTGTCTCCTAGTGTATATTTTTCAGTATAAAAGTGACTTTGTTTTTCAGTTCCTTCCCTTTCTATTATTACCATTTGGGTTGTTTGTTGGATCTCTCCTACTAAAAGCAAAAACACACAAAACAGAACAAAGCAACTCTTAATTCCCATTTCTATTCTGTTTTCCACCAACTAAGACAGGTACCATCTCAGCTCACTACTCATTTACTCTGTTGGCGAAGTAACTGAGACAAGACTAGGATATTTATTTATACATTTATTTTTTTTAATTTTTTTTAATGTTTTTATTTATTTTTGAGACAGAGACAGAGCATGAGCAGGGGAAGGGCATAGAGAGAGGGAGACACAGAATCTGACGCAGGCTCCAGGCTCTGAGCTGTTAGCACAGAGCCCGATGCAGGGCTCGAACTCACAGACTGTGAGATCATGACCTGAGCTGAAGTCGGACGCCCAACCAACTGAGCCACCCAGGCGCCCCTATTTATACATTTAGAATGCATTTTTATTCCTACTTTGGTCCATAGACGATTTGAAATGGTGTGTGTGTGTGTGTGTGTGTGTGTGTGTGTGTGTGTGTGTGTGCATGCATACATACACACAGTCAAGGGAAAAGAAGGATAGGAAAATAATAAAATCAGAAATCAGAGTGTTTATGTACCTATATGACTGTACCTATTGGCTTAGGGAAAGAGCTCAATTAAAGGGTTAAACACATGCCATATGTGTGAGAGGGTTTAGATCTATCCTTCTCAAACTGGAGTAAGGTCTGTGTGCCAGCTGGTGGGTGAAACCACAAAATAAATGCTGTGTGCCTTCTCAGAATATTTTTTTTTTGAAATTACATTTAATTACAAAGGAATGCAGAAGTCCCATGTTCATTAATATTAAACAATCTATGTTTCAGCTCTGCTCCTGAGTGTCCTACCCCCAACCCTCTCTCCTAGATTAGGAATACTTGGGTAGAAAAGTTTGAGAAGCCTTGGAATTTAGGGTGAGTGAGTGTGTGTGTGTGTGTGTGTGTGTGTGTGTGTGTGTAGTTCTCTGCAGTGTTACCACATGTGTAGGTTTTTGTTATCACCACCACAATCAAGACATAGAACTATTGTTCCATTACCACAAGGCTCCCCTGTGCTACCCTGTTATAGCCTTGCACATGTGTTTAAGTGTTCCAACTGTAGCGTTCAAACTGGAGCTTGAGATTTGCTCAAATGACAGATTTCTCTGGCTGTTTTTTTTTTTTTTTTAATGAATGAAATCCTTGCCTGGAGAGAGTCTTCTAGATTCTGAGTTCTCCTGCCAAGAACTTGGCCTCCAGGTCTCTGCCTCTAGTCAGTTTCAGCTACTTGCCTTTCCATTCCCTCTCTCTCTCTGTTTCCCCCCTCTGGAGCCTTCTTCCTCCTTAGCTTCATTTGAAAGGCCAAGAGAGAGCAATTATCTATTCCTCTGAGGGACTAAACTAATGGAAAAGTTGTGTCAAAGCTATAACAGAAAAAAAATCTGAGCAGTTTGGCTCTCCTTCTCTAGGTCAGTGAATTATTTTAATTACATTTTATGTTTAAATCAGAAGTCCAGTGAGTTGTGTTTCATATACTTTGAGCGAGTTTGAACTTCTAATATTTTTATCAGTAAGCATTCTCTCCTAATGTTCAAAATAGCTTTCTTTGTAAGATGTAACTGTTTGTAAGCCCTTTATGTTGGTGACTCCTTATTCGTGGTCAAAATTATATTTATTTTCTGGCCATCTTCATTATCATAGGAGGATAGTCTCAAAAGTATATTCTCTCCATTTTAGAAATAGCTGTTGCTGTTTTATTCTTTGGGACAGCTGGTGTCTCACTGGTTTCGTTTTATGGTCAGAGCCTGAAACTTTCTACTTGCATATTCTTGTTGCTGAGTCTGTGATAGCAAAACTCTTGCAAAGATGTGGTGATTCTCTATAGAACTGAACTGTGTATTTAAAGAAAAAACACTCAGGAATTTTCAACACTCTAACCTCCTATGAGAATTTGACACCAATGTAGGTAGCCAGCTGGTCTTCACCTCAAATGTGTAGCCAAAGTTCAGCCATTCCAGTAAAAGAGCTTTCAAGACTCTTAATAAAATTGGCATAAAATCATATATATTTGACTACAAAACCTATCGAAGTGTTCATAAGGAACAGGAGTTTGCTTCAGGTTTTTGTTCATTCTTCGTTTTTGTCCATCCTTAGAAGCTGGTATTGGTTTCCTTTGGGTGTAGCAAATCCTCTCTTTTTCAGTACCAAGTGGGCTGACACTATTTCAGTATTGCCTTTCTGACAATTCTGGAAGGAACATCTTGAGCGATTTAATACTGGTCTTTTTCTTTCTGATCTCCTTTCCTGAAAACTGATTACTCAGAAGGGCGGCGTGCCTCACTAAAACAAGCTTCTTTCTTTTCCCTTGTTCCAGGGAGCCTTTGCTTACATAGTCAATTATTTCATGTACGTCCTCTGGGCTCTCCTATTTGCCTTCCTTGCCGTGTCTCTTGTCAAGGTATTTGCGCCTTATGCCTGTGGCTCTGGAATTCCTGAGGTAAGTCTCTCAAGTGGTTTATAAATGGTGACAATAACGATTCCTTCCTGGTTAAAAGCCTTTAGTATGTATTCCAGCATATACCACAATTTGAATATAAAACAGGATCAGACTCTGAGGAAATCTAGAGTCTCTCTAGGTCTTTCCTCAAGTCTTCTCTCAGTCTGGGCTACCTGGAAACTAAAGGGAGTTGATTCCTAGCCCCCCTGGGGGTTCCTGGTGAATTAGGCCCCTTGAAGACCAACCCCCACTCCCTACCCAAGAAGCTCCCAGGGTCCCAAGATCCTGGCCTGAAAAAGTAGTGGTATTGTCAACTTTGTTAGAGTTGAAGAAACAAAGCTATTTTGCTACATTTCCTACAATATGATTCAGGCTAGGAGGGTAGTTGAAATCCTGTTTCTAGCTACTTTGGGTTTAGATTGCTTGACAGTGACTGAAACCACTGAGATTTGAGGTTGCCCAGATGACCTTACCCCTCTCTGTTTCCTGACCAAGTCATAGTTATAAATTTCTTTCGCAGAGAATCAAGGCTATACTAGCCTGTAAGGATATAAGGAAGGAAAACACGCCCCTCCCTGCCCCTCTTCTCCATATACACAGACTCCCATGCTTGTACTCCCTTGCCCAGCTAACACATGGCCCCCCAAAATATAAGGAACATGAAATCTTAAAGAACAGTTCTTGCTTTCCTGGGCTTCCAGGCTTCCTCCCAAATTGGGGTCACTGTAGGTCAAACATTTATAGGTCATTTGTTCAAGAGGTGCAGTTTCTATAATGAGGTCCGGATTATTGCTTCCCAGCCTTGCTTACTTGCTTAGCCTATATTCAGTCTCTCTGTTTTTGGCCTGCAGATAAAAACTATCTTGAGCGGTTTTATTATTAGGGGCTATTTGGGTAAGTGGACCCTGATTATCAAAACCATCACGTTGGTGCTGGCCGTGTCATCAGGCTTGAGCCTGGGCAAAGAGGGCCCCCTAGTGCACGTGGCTTGCTGCTGTGGGAACATCCTGTGCCACTGCTTCAACAAATACAGGAAGAATGAGGCCAAGCGCAGAGAGGTAAGAACAGGTGGCCCAAGTATTTTCTTTGTTGGTGAGAGCATAAATGGAACAGTCTTGGGGCGCCTGGGTGGCGCAGTCGGTTAAGCGTCCGACTTCAGCCAGGTCACGATCTCGCGGTCCGTGAGTTCGAGCCCCGCGTCGGACTCTGGGCTGATGGCTTAGAGCCTGGAGCCTGTTTCCGATTCTGTGTCTCCCTCTCTCTCTGCCCCTCCCCCGTTCATGCTCTGTCTCTCTCTGTCCCAAAAATAAATAAACGTTGAAAAAAAAATTAAAAAAAAAATGGAACAGTCTTAGGGATGAGAATTTGGGGATTCTCCCAATGTCAACACAGACACCCTTTGACCCAGCAGCTCTACCTGTAGGAATTTAACCTACAGACATCCTAGCGCGTGTGTGTGTGCACAAAGGTATGCATTTGGGAATAGTTCATGTGCAGCATTTGTCAATATCATGAGAAAATGAAACCATCGCAATGTCCACCAATGGGACTGATTTGAATAAACAGTATTCTGTCCATGCTGTAGCATATTATGCAATCGTTAAAAAAAGAGAGCCTTATGTACATTGACATGGAATGATGGCTATAAAATATCATTCATTTTCAAAAGCCAGTTTTGGAACAATGCATACAAATAATAATTCAATTAATGTTTTTTTTAAATTATGTAAATGTGCACCTAGAAAGAAAATGTCTGGAAAGTGGTTTTACTACAAACTATTAAAAATGTCTACCTGCAGTGAGTGGGGAAGTGAGGTGGTAGTGAAGGACTTTAACTATAATAACTTTTACTATATATAACTATACAAGTATGTGTTGTTTCTATTACAAAATAAGTTACAAAAATAGTAGTAGATTTTTAGAAGCAGTCGTTTATTCCTGTGAACGAATATGAACTCAGCCTGTGTTTCAGATGCCAGCTTTTTCATCTTTTATTTCTACCTACTGCCACACTGAATGAGTTTCTCTATGTATTGGAACTCTCTCTGCCTTCTGCCTCAATCCCACCAGAGTAGTCCTGCCACAACATCTCTGTAGTGGTTCTCATGTTTATGCAGTTGCTAACGTATATCATTTTGAAGAGGAAGAGCAGTTTTTAAAAATGTTCCAAGTCATTGGTTACTTTAATCCTGATATAATGAAGGATTTAAGAAAATAATGGTTCTTGCTCTATTTTCCTTGAATTACAAAGAAATCACATATGAAATGGGTCATGGCCAAGGTCATCTCATTAGAAAGGATTTTTCACAAAATGGGAACCTAGTGATTTATTCTGAAAACCAAACAAAACAAAATAAACCATAAGGCCCAGAAGGAAGCTCAAAGATGTTGAAACTTCAATTATGGAATACATTTTGATAGTTCAAGGGGGAAAGTTCTTGGCAGGAGAAGAAGGTGAGCAGGAGAGAGAGAGGGAGAGGGAGATCTGAGTAACTTGTTTAGCTACCTGTCAAATGGTAGAAGGGCATAAAGGCAGTATTCAATTGCTGAGTTTGTTGGATGGTAATAATGCACAACAGAAGCTAAAGAAATGGAAAAAAAACATTCTAACTGGCAAGAGTAAAGTGTTGATTGCTGCTGGTTTTGCCTGGGCAGGGGTGACTTTGAAACTACAGATTACCAGTTACTTTCATTCCATAAAATTGGCATTTCTGTTCAAGTAGTTCCTTATAGAAGGGGAGTAGTTCCTTATGAGAGGGAGTTTGGGCTATTTCTCTGTACAGATGTCATTTATTCCTCTAACTAGACTCAGGAATATTTGCATCTTGAGCTCACTTCCTATTGTTTATTTTAGACTTTCCAGTTATTTCTTCCTGTTGTTCTCACCATCGGCAGCCACCCTTTTGTGTCCTGGGGCCTTGTCAAAGTGGGCAGATGCTTGAGGGTAGAATAGGGATTTGAGAAGGAAGGGCATGGACAGACTCCACTCGGTCAACAAAAAAAAAATTAAAGCAAACTAGCCACCATGATTCTTTACTTTTTCTCATAATTCATCCCAAACAGTCACTGAAATGCTTTCAATCAAAGCCAATATATAGCTATGGATTTCGAAGTCCTCCCAAGTTAGCCCTGGAAATCTCACTCCTTCCTCCCCTTCATTTTCCTGCCCTGCACCATCCTGCCCAGAGAAACCTGCCTATTTATTTTGCCAAGAACCATTTTATTCAAAAACTCTTATTTTTAATCATCTTTATTTTTTAATGTTTATTTATTTTGAGAGAGAGCATGCATGCATGAGTGGGGAGGGGCAGAGAGAGGGAGAGAGAGAGAGAGGATCCCAAGCAGGCCCCACACAGTCAGCACACAGAGCCTGATGTGGGGCTCGATCTCAAGATCCGTGAAATCATGACCTGAGCCAAAATCAAGAGTCACACGCTTAACTGATGGAGCCACCCAAGCGCCCTTAAACTTTCTTTTAAAAATTTTCCTTACGAGTACAAATCACTTCTCACTCCACAGCAACCAGAATCTAATGAAAGGACCTTTTCTTCCCATTAATTTGGTGTGTTTTTCATGCATATTTTACATGCACATGCATATGCCTGCCTACAAAGGTAGGGCTAAGTATAATACTTGCTCTCTTTCTCTGTCTCCTTGTCCCTTTTTATTTCCCCTGATAGCTTCTCCCCCTTCCTCTTCCTCTTCCACGTAGCCCTTTTCATTGCCACACTGAAACACCCTTAGGTCTTCTCTTCCCTTCAAAATCTATCTCCTTGCTTCTAGTTGCTTATTTGCCCCCCTATTTCTTTTTCCACAGGTCACTATGTATGGAGTAGGGCACATAGTACAGGAAACCCCAACTACCCATTGTATGAATATTTGCAGCTCCTGAATAGATGTGAGCCAATTGTTATTTCAGTTTTGTATCATCACAGCCTTCTCTAAACTCTCATTTAAAAGGCATTCCTTAACAGAGAGTGCTGTATAAATACATCACTGAAAATTCTTCATTTAGATGGTTCCTAGGTCTACAAACTCAATTTCATTAGTGAATGGAGAGTATTGGGGCTGGGGGGCATGATGTGGAATAAAGTACATGCCTGAATTAATTACAGAGGAAAGACCCTTTGCCTGTTCAAGCATTTGAACTGTGTTCAAATTTAACATGCAGTGTTTGCTCTCAAATAAATATAAATTGAATTTTGTCTTTGATAAACTGGTTACAGAGCATGTAAAGTTTTAAAAGAAATGTCAACCACTAACGTTCCTTTTAAACATGTGATTGACAAAAGAAAGGTGGCATTATTTCTGTCACTAATTTTGAGTTTTGGATTGTAGGTCTTGTCGGCTGCAGCAGCAGCTGGTGTATCCGTAGCCTTTGGGGCACCGATCGGTGGAGTGTTATTCAGCCTAGAAGAGGTAACTACTTTTAACTGTCTGTAGAACATGCCCGTTGCTTTTGGGTCAGAAATTCTGGCCAGTGTGTATATATGGTGCAGTCTCAAAGCTCTCTGCTCAACTCTGTGTTTTACCACATGACCAGAGATCTCTGGGCAGTTTTTTTGTCCTGAGCTCTCATTCCTGCAGCACCAGCTTTTCACCTGGAACTGTGTCTGCATACTGCTCTAAGTTTGCTTTCCCACATTCTTTCTTACAGGTCAGCTACTATTTCCCCCTCAAAACGTTGTGGCGTTCATTCTTTGCTGCCTTGGTGGCAGCATTTACTCTACGTTCCATCAATCCATTTGGAAACAGCCGACTGGTTCTGTTTTATGTGGAGTTTCACACCCCATGGCATCTCTTTGAGCTTGTGCCGTTCATTCTGCTGGGTATATTTGGTGGTCTGTGGGGTGCTTTGTTTATCCGCACCAACATCGCCTGGTGTCGGAAGCGTAAGACCACTCAGTTGGGCAAGTATCCTGTCATAGAGGTACTTGTTGTGACAGCCATCACTGCTATCCTGGCTTTCCCCAATGAATACACCCGCATGAGCACAAGTGAGCTCATTTCTGAGCTGTTTAATGACTGTGGCCTTCTGGATTCCTCCAAGCTTTGTGACTATGAGAACCGTTTCAACACAAGCAAGGGGGGTGAACTGCCCGACAGACCGGCTGGTGTGGGAGTCTACAGTGCCATGTGGCAGCTGGCCTTGACACTCATACTGAAAATTGTCATCACTATATTCACCTTTGGCATGAAGGTGAGGAGATTCTTTTGATGTTCAGTGGATATATGTGTGGCTATGGGTTTGAGGGGTAAAGCCAAGATATAAAATCTTCAAAGCTCCTGTGGCACTTCCAACCCCACACAACATTATCCCCCACCCTCAAAAGCCCTTTTTGCCCCCACATGTCCTCCTAACTTCCTAGAGAATTGAACTTCTATCAAAAATTATCTAAGCCTAGTTTTAGGCCAAATGCACACCTCAATGATGAGATGTAAGTAGAAATGTTTTCTCCTTTTCCGTGGAGCACATATTTTGCCTTCAGAAAGGATGGTGAGGTATTTATTCACGTGCATTTTGTATTAAAACAATATCTGCCCAACATGTTTTTGGTCCTTAGAGGGTGGCTTTAGAGTTTGCCAATAAAGCAAAATATTAAGTTGAACCAAATGAAGTAGCCAGTACTCAACCATTTTGACCACTAAAAGAGCAATCTCATCAAGTTCAACCTGATCTATAGTAAATGTATTCTTTACAGTCATTATCAGTATCCGTGTATTGAGAACTTCACAGGTGATCCCAAGTTAATATTGAAACTCTCAACAGCAGACATCAGGCCAGCATCTTTTATTTTCAGTACCTGTTATCATTTCTGTATTTCAGAAGAAACCAGAAAGGAACATTTGTTAAGGTATTTTCCTCCTCCTTCCTAGATTATTTGTCTTTCCTTTAGCACCCAACTACTGAGTTATTCCCCTCTATTCAAACCAGACAGTGAGAGACAAGCGCTCAGTTTAGGCAGTGCTAGAAACCTCTGAATTGTCATGCATCTTCCTAACACCCTGGAAAGTCTTGCTGTGCTTCTTGAGTTGTTTTTTTGTTTGTTTGTTTGTTGTTTGTTTGTTTTTTCCTCACGGCTTCCTTCTCTTAAAGTGAACGGTCAGACCATCAAACCCACCCAGATTCAAATGCATCCCAAAATTGAACACAAGTCATTTAAAAATAATCTGCTATTTCAATGATTTTGCCCTTGTCATAACTTCCTTCCCCTAACACAGTAAATTGAGATTTCACTGTAGTATCCTAGGAGTCAAGAAATAGAGCAGGAGACAGATGAGAGGGTTTTTTTGTCATTGTTGGTTTTGTTTTGTTTTGTTTTGTTTTTTGGATAGTCATGCAATCCATAGTTACTACCTCATTTTTTAAATGTAATCATTTTGTCTTTATACTGTTACAAAATAAAATGAAACCTCATGTACCATCCTTTTCATGTGAGCAATGGGTTAAGATTCAATATATGAGAGTGGTTTTAAGCATTGCATTTAAACCCCAGCACCAGTATTTACTGTATCTTGAGCTTGGGTGAGTTACTTAACCTCTCTGAATCTTATGTTCTGTGCGATTTGGGAATAATAACGCCTATTCCTGGGGTGGTTATAAAGAACTGAGGAAATCTTGTTAGTGGAGTATCCAGCATAGAGCATGGAAGATAGTCAATAGAGGGTAATTGTTGTTTATAAGAATTCAGCATTGGGGGAAAATGTCTGCATATATGAGAAACTCCATCTATTTTCCTTTTTCTTTGGGAAAGGCTTAATTTCTGCCTCCAGTTCTGTGTTGGTCTGGAGAGTTCAGGCTCTTGCCTGATGGACCCCGAATCAGGGTAAGCTTCTTTGCAGTCGTACTTGCCTGCGCGTCCCAGAGAACCTCTAGCCCCTGTAGCATTACACAAATATTTATGGCCACTTGCTAGCATAGTGCATAGTTAAATTGTCATTGGCCTGTTTGCTTCGCAGAGGGTCAGTCCTCTAGCCCTTACCACATGCTAGGCAAGCGCATCATTTCTCACTAACCATCTGTTGCTTTCTCTTTGCAGATCCCATCTGGCCTGTTTATCCCCAGCATGGCTGTTGGTGCTATAGCAGGCCGACTTTTAGGAGTAGGAATGGAGCAGCTGGCTTATTACCACCATGACTGGGCCATCTTTAATAGCTGGTGTAGTCAAGGAGCAGATTGTATCACCCCTGGACTTTATGCGATGGTTGGGGCTGCAGCCTGCTTAGGTGGGTAGTGTTTGCATTGATTTCAAAGAAGTTGCCACACAGGTGACAGAATAAAGATGTGTGATATTAAACACAGTCTACTGAAGAGTTTGAGAGCGCAAGCAAGCACACATGAGCAGAGGAGGGGCAGAAGGAGACAGAGAGAGAGAGAGAGAGAGAGAGAGAGAGTGAGAGAGTGAGTCAGTCTTAAGCAGGCTCCACGCTCAGCACAGAACCTGACGCAAGGCTCCAGAGGTCATGAGATCATGACCTGAGTGGAAATCAAAAGTCAGATGTTCAACCTACTGAGCCACCCAGGTGCCCCTGAAGGTTTTTTTTTTTTTTTTTAATGAGCATCCATTTCCTGTTGGGTTTGCCATTTTTCAAGTGCTTTAAGAAAGCATTCTTTATCCTATAGCTATATTCCTCCCTTTTGAGAGTAATTTTACTCTCAAATTTCATCCTACTAAGGAAATTATCAGAAACTCGGGTAAGGATATCTGCCCAAGAATGTTCATCACAGTATTATTTATGATAGCAAGAAATTGGAATCAATTAAATATGTACAGTAAGGGATTGGTTAAATAAATTATGGTGAATCCATATAATGTTATACTATATAGCCATTGAATGTGATGCTAATATTTAACATCTTTAAATCCAATGTTAAATGAATTTGTAATAATATATGAAATGTTCCTGACATAAAGTGGGGGGAGGGGAACATGGTGGGGAATTAAACATATAATATGAGCTCACCTACCTACAAATACATATTTTTGCATAGCGAAAAACTTGAAAAAGTTGTTCCAAATTTTCACTCTGCTTATTTCTAGGCAGTGAGCTTATGGATAATGACTTTCTTTTATATACTTAAAAACAATGTTTGAATTTCCCACAATGGTCTGTACATTCCAGAGAACCTATAGTCCTAGCAGTATTATACCAATTGTGGATATCTTTTGCAATTACTTTTCTAATTAGTGGGGAGAAAGCAGCACACAAATAAGAAACAAAAGAAGAAAAATCCAGATGGCATCTGGTGCTTTTATAGATATTATTTTGAGAAATCTGACTCACATCCATTATAGACTTATTTTAACCCAGCCGCTGGGGTCTGTGCAGTTATAGGTGAGACCTCCTTTTAGCAATGCTTCTGGTACATGGGCTTTTCCTGGATGGGCTCCTGTCACAGGCCCTTAATTGTAATGAATCTGGACTTCTGTTTTTAGTAGCCTGTATCTGTTTCCTTGTAGGTGGGGTGACTCGGATGACTGTTTCTCTCGTTGTCATAATGTTTGAACTAACTGGTGGCTTGGAGTACATTGTGCCTCTGATGGCTGCAGCCATGACAAGCAAGTGGGTGGCAGATGCTCTGGGGCGGGAGGGCATCTATGATGCCCACATTCGTCTCAATGGTTACCCCTTTCTTGAAGCCAAAGAAGAGTTTGCTCATAAGACTCTGGCAATGGATGTGATGAAACCCCGTAGAAATGATCCTTTATTGACTGTCCTTACTCAGGACAGCATGACCGTGGAAGATGTAGAGACTATCATCAGTGAAACCACTTATAGTGGCTTCCCAGTGGTGGTGTCCCGGGAATCCCAAAGACTTGTGGGTTTCGTTCTCCGAAGAGATCTCATCATTTCAATCGGTAAGGATTTCAGAAAGGGGATGATGGAATCCACTATGGAAATAAAATAAATATGTGCAAAATGGGGGACGACACAGGGAGGACAGGACCAATGAGGGGCCAGAATGATAGAACTGGCACTTCTATTTTCAACTTTTTTTTCCTACTTCTCAAATAGAAAATGCTCGCAAAAAACAGGATGGAGTTGTGAGCACTTCCATCATTTATTTCACTGAGCATTCTCCTCCGATGCCACCGTACACACCACCCACCCTAAAGCTTCGGAACATCCTGGATCTCAGCCCCTTCACTGTGACTGACCTTACACCCATGGAGATTGTAGTGGATATCTTCCGCAAGCTGGGACTGCGGCAGTGCCTGGTTACGCACAATGGGTGAGAGCTCTTTGGTGAAGGCAAATTGGACCGTGGGAGGAAAGAGTGTAGAGAGATAAAGAAGAACCCAATTCATCTGAACATTAGTAGCATGTATAGGGCCTTTTGAAGCTCTGAGATGAAGACAGATGTGTTTCTTTTATCATCATGATTAATGGAAAAGGAGTTTGGGGAAGAAAGTGTGATTGGGAAATGTGAACTGCTGGCTGCACATTATAAATAACACGGCCCCTCCCCCACAAAGGAAACGGCTGTGTTCTTGTGAAGAGACAGCACCAAAATTATAATGATATTAGGTATTATTCGTATAGTATTTGGTCCTTATGATACCTGTGTTGTTATCATTGGAGGATGATAAAGCCAAGTTTCAGTGAGGTTTAAAGATTTACACAAGAGCCCACAATCAATATATAGTAGGGAGAGGCTTTAAACACAAGTCTTCTGACTCCCAAGGCCAAGGCTCTTTCTTTCAGGGATATTTCTTATGCAGTAAAGGAAGCCCTGCTATTTTTATTGGAAAAGAAGGGAGGTTGAGTAGAAGGGTGGATTTTTTTCTAAACATGGTATGCCAATCCAGCAATTATATGAGAATTTCACTCTCTAAAATTTCTAAATGTTATAACAGATGTCTTGCAGGATTGAAATCAGCAAGGGGACTTTCCCTAACTGATTCATTCAACATTTACTGAATCCCCTGCTTCACGCAAGAAGGTATTCCACTAGACTCCATGGAGACACAAAAGTGAATAAGGCCCTTCTCTGCCCTCAAGGAGTGCACAGTGTCATAGGGAACCTAAGAATACAGGAGCATGCATTCCACAACAGCAAACAAGACAAGTGTGTAGATCATGCCGTTGCTGCAAGGGGGTCACGGTCATTGCTGGCCTGTAGGATCAGAGAGGGTGTTCTGGAAGAGCAGCATTTGAACTGAGTGGCAGGAGATAAGGTTCAGATACGTAGGGAATATTTAAAGCAGAGGAAATAGCAAGATGTGAGACGTGAAGTAGAAATGCCTGCAGCCTGTTTAGGGACCCATGTGCTGTCCCATTTGCTGGGCACACATAACACTGTAAGGTGCAGTTAGTGTTTGAAGACAAAGTTGAAAAGGCCTGAGGAGGAAAAGCATCACCATTGAGAATGTTAACTACCGATTTGTTTTTGTTTTGTTGCCTTGTTTTCTTTTAGGCGATTGCTTGGAATCATTACCAAAAAGGATGTGCTAAAGCATATAGCACAGATGGCGAACCAAGATCCTGACTCCATTCTCTTCAACTAGAATCACAGGGTTGTGCTGGATATAAAACAGGAAGGACATTGCAGACCATGGATGTATTTTATTAACTGGGTACCCAAAACACATTTCCCATATTTGGATGGTGAAGTTATATTAGTGTGTTGTCTCTTTCCTATAAGTTAACCAGTTGCACTACATAATCTCTGGAATTTAATCTTCTCTTTAGGAGAAAATACAGTTAGGCTTCTGTGATATCGCATTAGGAAGAGTTCATGAGAGAATAAACAAGATTGCTAGGGTTTAATTCTTTAAAATTTTTTTTTAATTTAAAACATAATTGTTAGCCAATATGCAATCACTGAAAACTATGCAAGAAAAATTCCAACCGTCCTGACCTAAAGCCTGCAGAAAGCTCATGACCAAGTCACTTTTTTGGACTCTGTCATTGGTGGAAGATGAAGTGTAAACTAAGGGGCTTTGCTTTTCCAAACACAGAAAAGAAAGCCAGAAGGAAAATAGTAATGCTGTTTTCCAGACTGTGAAAATTCAGTTCAAATGTTTTCTTGTTCCTGTTACAATATTTAGCATTATTAGTTTGTGTGTGTGTATGTGTATGTTAATATCTGATTATAAGACAATGCTGCTTTGGTTAACCTCCTCTAAACAAATTTAGAGAGGTTGACTTTTATAGCTTGCTTGTTCCTGGTACTCTTTTGAAGTGCACAAAGATAAGTTATGGAACTTTCTCCTTGTCTGCCAAAAGGGTGATTTTCCAGATGGTATTTGTTAGTCCAGTAGACAAGGACTTTGCCATGAATTCGTTAGTAACAAGGAATGATTTCTCCAGCTTCCTTGAAATGAATGATTAGTAAAGTTCTAAGCCAAGTCAATGACTAGGAATTTCATGTTTTTTTGTGAGGTCCCAACTAATTCTCTTACCCAGATGCCACCTCCATGAGTGATGGTGCTTTAGGCTTCTGGAATATATAAGAATAGTAAAGGGAACCAAATCTGGACTGCATACTGATAAACCAGGGAAGATCCTGAGCTGTATCTGCATTCTCATGCATTCCTTCGTAAAGACCACCAGTACTAAAATAACTGGGCACTCATGCCTCCTTCCAGTGTTAAGTACATATAACAGGCCAGTTGTTGTCCCTGTGAGCATGAATTAAGGCTTGGGGTACTTAAAAATCCATTTGAGGCATTGGAATAGGATAGGCAGCTGTGACTCCCTTGGGGTTCCTTAGAATTCTAAATAAAATACAGAACCATCCTAAGACCCAGGGGTGTGGACAAGGCCTGGTGACACCAAAGGTGCTTGTATCCAATTGAAAAGGTGCCTGTCTCAATTTTCTACCACCTTTACTGCAGTAGAAAAACATCACACTGTAGGGACACCCGGTGGAATCACAGAGCTACCACCATCATTCCGATACCGGTTTCATTTTCTGTTGTTGTCCCCATGTGCAGCTGGTACCCCTTGTTTTCCTCCATTCTTTTCCCCTCCCTCTCCTCAGTCCTGAGTCCTGTCTTTGGGATTGAGCGCCATGCCTGGTTAATCATTCCGATTTCAAAAAATAACTTCCAGGGCTAGTTAAATTGTAAACCAGGGCTCAGCAATCTTAGGGCACATGGACCAGAGGGAACACACAGCCATTGGCTTTGCTCTGTAGCCCATTTGCTGCCACTGTGCCTCCCTCCCTTCCTGTGCAGATGCCCACAGCAGCAAGACTTAACTGCCAGGGCTGCAAGTTCAGCCTTTCCTGTTTGACAAGTCTGTTACCCCCCACCCCCACCCCTTGCACCACCATTCCAGCCTAGAACCATCAGTCACTAGGGATATCCTCCCCCGCCCCCTTCCCCTTCCCCCAACACCTCAGGGTTCCTCATTTTAAAAGTTGCTGAGCCCTGAATCTAGAATTTCTTTTTCTTCCTTTTCTTTCTTTCTT